ACCATCCTCCTCCAACAAGAGCGTTAAGGCTCTTGTCGACAAGGCTGTCGCTGCTGCCTTAAAAAATGCTTCTGGCCCCGCTTCCAAGGGGCCGGTCAAGAAGGTACGGACCTCGGTCCCTCTATCGACTCAACTGACCCAACTCCATCTAGAACGCCGCCAAGTCCAAGGGCGGCAAAGGAAAGGAGAAGAAGGACAAACCCAAGGCCGAAGCCGCTGCCCAGAACGCCGGCAAGAAGAAGACCAAGGGGAAGCCGTCCGGAAAGGGAAAGAAGCATGGCAACGAGAAGTAGAAGACTGGCTCCTCACGCAACCTATCAGGTACGATCACCCATCATCTTGGCCCGATCTTATCTTAGAATTAAACCCTGATAGCGCTGTTCGGATACTGCACACTTTCGTGCCTCTTAACGTACTAGAGGCGAGTAGATATCGATCGTATGTACATGTAGGACCTGGTGTCCAAATAGATGAAACTTCTTCTTCGATTCTTCGTGAATTAAGTCTATCGTATAAATATATGTTCCCCACGCTTCAAAACTCTAAGTTATTGTTAGATGCGTATGAAGACTTCGCCGACAGGCTAAGATGGAAACTCCGCTTTATTTATAAAGCTTTCCATGGGAACTACGAAGACAGACCCTTTGACCCAGACTATCGGATTATTAAAGAGCGTGTGCCCTGTGATCCGATCCCTTACCAAGGAATAGAATCCGCCATTAGTGCCGGTCGCGACTATGTCAGGAATTGTACCCTGAGCGCTATACCGCCTAAAATCAACGAACTTGAAACCACAGTTCCACGAGGCCGAATCTACCGCTGGTTGATAGAACACAATTGCTTGGTTCTTCCAACGGATAAAAATCTAGGCGCTTGCGTCGTAACGGTTAACTGGTACAAGGATCAATGTATGCAACTATTAAGTAATAGACTAGACTATGAAATAATTGACGATGCAACTCGTCTAGCCATACTATCGAGACAACGAATTTCCATACTCGCGTTAAGCGACTTGGCGGCAAATGCTTTAGGGCACCAGCAGCTAAGTGCGTTCTTACAACAATTTATTGTTGGGGTGGAGGAAGGCGAAACTGAGGATGACGCTCATATGCGTGTTAAACTCCCAAAGTTTTACGGTATTCCAAAAATACATAAGGTACCGACCAAATTTAGGCCGATCGTACCTTGCCATTCTGCAATGCAGAACCCCGCTGCTAAATTCGTCTCAAAATATCTCAAACCCATAATAGAATCATCTCCATATATTCTTGGCGGGTCGAAGCAGTTAGCTCAGCTTCTTAATCAATTTAACGAGATATCAGGCAAACGTAAATTCTATATTGTCACCGGCGATGTGGTAGCTTTCTACCCCAACGTTCCTGTCGACAAAGGTATCGAGGCGGTCTTAGACCTATGGGACGAGCATTACGCTATTGATCCCGAACCTATTCCACGCCATATGCTCGAACTCGCATTAGAAGTTGCCTTAAATAACCTTATCGTCCAATTTGGCGAACAAACGTACAAACAAACCCGTGGCTTAGCCATGGGCGTAGCGTGCTCCCCCGATGTTGCAAACTTATTCGGGCATTTCCATGAAGCGCTCATTGTACCTAATCTTAACAAATTACTGTTCTATAGACGGTATATAGATGACGTGTTCGCATTAGTCGAAGCTAATTCAGAAATAGAAGCGTATAATTATATGCGCGATAATCTTGTTTTAGAAGGCTGCCAAATCGGTTGGGAAGTCTCTCAGCATCACGCTGTATTTTTAGACATGTTTGTGTATCGTGATCCATTCACTAACAACGTAGAACACATGCCTTATCGTAAGAGACTAAACCATTTCGAACGAATCCCCTGGGACTCAGCACACCCATATGACGTGAAGAAAGGCACGTTCATAGGTGAGCTAAGCCGCCTAGCCACTTTGTCCAGTAAAATAGAATACTACCGGACCGCGATCTCAGATCTATGCTGTGTTTACATATCGCGAGGCTATCCGGCATCGGTTATTAATAACTGGTCTAGACAGTACGCTACCAAAAAATGGGAAGCACGTCTATTGACAAGAGCGGTATCAGAGGATCCCATTCTTGTAGTCAAAACCGAATTTAATACCGCATGGGATTGGTTCAGCATTAAAAGCTTAGAGGATACCATTATGCATAAGCTAAATCGTTATAGGAACGATTTCGTGTCCGGTGTGTATGGGACGCAAAACACACCGGTGTACCAAGATAGATTGACCGAATGGCTCGTGCCCGCTCACGCTCCGGCTCCTGACGTACTCGAACATCTGGGCCTCCCACGGGAAGCACTTTTGATTAGGGACGTTAGTGTAGTAGGCGGCGTTAAAGCCGAGTCGGCCGCGATATTAGATCTTGGCAATTATGTAATGGGAAATGCAAGGTGGCTTGTATCGCGCAAAAGAACACAAAATTTTGCCGATCTAGCATCACTCTGGAGAAATTCCCTCCTCAAAATAGCATTAGAACAGGACGATTTTATTCCTCCTGTTGAAATATAGATATACACTTAGCGTGCGCGCCACAGCGAAGCCCTACGGAGGGTCCCTAAGTGCAGGTAACGCAACCATACGAACGAGGGTGAAGCTAAGTTCGAAAGTCCTCTCCGTCCGGCGGGTTTCCTCCGGGAGATTTGCCTTGCTTTAATGCAAAGGATGGCGGGCTAAGTGGTGAATTGACATCGACCAGAAGGGAGCTACTCCTACTGGGTTCAGTCATGCGCGTATGTTTACGCAACTTGTGCTGGCGGGCACTGTGCATAGTGGAGGTAACGGCTCCCGATGTGTGGTGACTTCCTATAAAGCTTAGCGCCGGAAAAGCGGCGCGGGTAGAAATCTATATATATTCTTTATCTAATTTTAATGCTTCGGACACTTTTAATGTTGTCTTTATACGTATGCGGTCATTTTTACGATATGACGCTAGGAGCCAGAGATGGCTGTACGGAACTGATCGGTTCCCGTACATGGCTTTTTCAAGGAAGCCCCCCTAAGCCTAACTAACTTAACCTAACTTCCTAAGCCCTAACCCTAACTAGCCTAACCGCCTTACGGTCTAACTAACCGTTGTTTAAAAATACGTAACGTTATTAATAGTTCTTCTATTCGTAATCAGGTCCTTGTGACAGATGTCACGTGACCGGTTGTCGTTCCGATATTTGTTTATGGAACTTCTATTACGTAATAGGTCTAGACCTTCGGTCCAGACTCGGATCAAACTATTTTTGCCTCTTACTCATTGTAGATTGTGTACGCCTGTTTACCTTTTTATAGAGTTTGACATCTGTGAGAGATTTTTAATGGCGGCCTTCGGCCACCTGCTGCGGCACTAAAAATACTTTTAGGCTTATTAACGTTGATAACATTATTAGACATGATACGATACTTCTTATCTTCGATAAACCTTCGTACTCAGACACATACTCCTCTCGAATATGTGTGTCCCCTCCTATTTAACCAGCTAGAAAACTGATGAGAGTACCATACTCGAAATACCACCTCAGACTACCTAGTAGCCGGGGGTATTTTTTCTAGTTTATCTCTTCAGTTACTTGTGCGCCCACCAGCGTTTTTACCCCCTAACGCGATATTAGATCTTGGCAATTATGTAATGGGAAATGCAAGGTGGCTTGTATCGCGCAAAAGAACACAAAATTTTGCCGATCTAGCATCACTCTGGAGAAATTCCCTCCTCAAAATAGCATTAGAACAGGACGATTTTATTCCTCCTGTTGAAATATAGATATACACTTAGCGTGCGCGCCACAGCGAAGCCCTACGGAGGGTCCCTAAGTGCAGGTAACGCAACCATACGAACGAGGGTGAAGCTAAGTTCGAAAGTCCTCTCCGTCCGGCGGGTTTCCTCCGGGAGATTTGCCTTGCTTTAATGCAAAGGATGGCGGGCTAAGTGGTGAATTGACATCGACCAGAAGGGAGCTACTCCTACTGGGTTCAGTCATGCGCGTATGTTTACGCAACTTGTGCTGGCGGGCACTGTGCATAGTGGAGGTAACGGCTCCCGATGTGTGGTGACTTCCTATAAAGCTTAGCGCCGGAAAAGCGGCGCGGGTAGAAATCTATATATATTCTTTATCTAATTTTAATGCTTCGGACACTTTTAATATTGTCTTTATACGTATGCGGTCATTTTTACGATATGACGCTAGGAGCCAGAGATGGCTGTACGGAACTGATCGGTTCCCGTACATGGCTTTTTCAAGGAAGCCCCCCTAAGCCTAACTAACTTAACCTAACTTCCTAAGCCCTAACCCTAACTAGCCTAACCGCCTTACGGTCTAACTAACCGTTGTTTAAAAATACGTAACGTTATTAATAGTTCTTCTATTCGTAATCAGGTCCTTGTGACAGATGTCACGTGACCGGTTGTCGTTCCGATATTTGTTTATGGAACTTCTATTACGTAATAGGTCTAGACCTTCGGTCCAGACTCGGATCAAACTATTTTTGCCTCTTACTCATTGTAGATTGTGTACGCCTGTTTACCTTTTTATAGAGTTTGACATCTGTGAGAGATTTTTAATGGCGGCCTTCGGCCACCTGCTGCGGCACTAAAAATACTTTTAGGCTTATTAACGTTGATAACATTATTAGACATGATACGATACTTCTTATCTTCGATAAACCTTCGTACTCAGACACATACTCCTCTCGAATATGTGTGTCCCCTCCTATTTAACCAGCTAGAAAACTGATGAGAGTACCATACTCGAAATACCACCTCAGACTACCTAGTAGCCGGGGGTATTTTTTCTAGTTTATCTCTTCAGTTACTTGTGCGCCCACCAGCGTTTTTACCCCCTAACTAACCCTAACTAACCCTAACTAACCCTAACTAACCCTAACTAACCCTAACTAACCCTAACTAACCCTAACTAACCTAACTAACCCTAACTAACCCTAACTAACCCTAACTAACCCTAACTAACCCTAACTAACTTGTCTCCATTTGTCACGCATTTGGTATAGAGCTCGTGAGTCGGGAGATGGCATCTGACATTCTGGCTTTCGACTCTTCCGTGAAGGGTGCAGAGGTTTCTACAACTTCGTGCATGTAACGGTCTTTGAGCTGAAGAAAATAATGAGCTACAAATGAACGAGGTACGATAAAATGCTAGATACTTCGCCATACACGACTTTGTCATACCTGGAGAAACCCTTTCAACAAATATTGCGCGAACCAGATAGAACCAACTCACTTTTTCAAAATCTTGCTGAAGCCAGAGTAATTGACCTCCACATAAGATTTCAGCGAGGATAAAGTGATGTAAAGGTTGGTAATTTTTCGCTTGAAGAAGTAGCCGGGCATCCAAGGCATAGCTGCCCTTTGCGGTCCAGATGGTATCTCCAGTAGATGTTGTGTTATCCTTCACAGTCCTCAGCCGGCTACCCAGGCTGCGAGCTCTCCCCGTCGGCGACATGCTACTGTTTGCATCACGCGAACCAGATACAGCCCGTGAGGCCGACCATGGGCGCGGGGCAACGGACAAGACACTTGCATCTAGATCTCCCGCCTCGCTGGAAGAGACGCTAAAGCAGCGATTTGTGGATTCCTCGCGAATAGAACCTGCTCAATGAGCGTTAGCTGGACATGACAAGGTATTGCAAGGCAGACCTGTTGCAAAACGTGTTCCATAACCGACGGAGGTGGATTTGTGGCGCCTGCGTCGGGGTGAGACAAAAGCTCACTACAGGCTGAACATTGAAGAAGACTGGGACGGCGGTCGAGGTGATCAAGTCCTGGGTGTGGATTAACGTTCCAAAGGGAGTGTGGCTTAGTTTCTGCAGCGTCTAATTCGGACTCCGTTGAATCGATATCTGTGTTATAGGATGGGACAAGGGATATGAAGTTGTGAGAATGTAAACAATGCAGTACTACGATGAACTCACATAAAAGATTGCCTGTGAGCCTTACTGTATGTCTGCTAGGGAAGCCCAGCATCAGTCAAACCTCCGATTCCTTTTGCAGCTTACAGCTACCTTCATATCGATAGGCAAATAGGGCTGCCAGGCCCATGTACTTGCAAATTAGTCTTTCCTCGACAATGCCAAACATTCCCATGTGAAAGTGGGTGGCAAATTTACGCTGATTGTTGCGATGCTTAACAATATATTACTTTAAATATCATTCTCATTTGTTCACAGGTTCTCTGATGACTGTTGTCGGCTTTAAATTTGTATGTGTTGGGAGCAGTTCATTGTCTTGCATGGCGGAGCGACGTAGTATCTCTTACAACTTAGTATATGGTCATGCCACGCAGGCGTTTGAAGTACATGAGCGCCGACTACGTAGTAGCAGCAGCTACGCGGTTGAGGCACCCACAATACAGAGCATATGACGACAAACGAGTACTTGTTGAATGCGAGAATTATATGGACCACGAAATCTGTGAGAGGGGGGGCGAAAAGAAGACCGAGTTGAAGAATGTTCAGCGAAACGTCGGGGAAGTAAGGAAGCTGGTGGAGTTACATTTCGAGGAGAGGAACGCCAGGAGCATGCAGCATAGTACAATGCACTACAAAGAAGTGGTGACTCAGATCGATTGCATATACCTACAAATGATATCATGCAAGGCGGACGTCGACGCACAGATGACTAGATAAACACTGAAGCTTGAAGCAGTAAGGTAGACTCAAGCGTTGTTAACGTTTGTGTAAGAATTGCCTCGGAATCAATAATGGATTGCGTAAGCTGCAGGAGCTTACTTAGAAATTTCGCCACGACTGAGTATAGCACGACAATCTAGACAGAAGACTCACAGTATCTGGGTACCCGGCGCCGCGAACATGCAAGTGGTATCTTGTTTGGTTTTTTGGATTGTGACTAACTTGCTGAACTGCAGGGCCTCTGTTACCGTGCAGTCTAATGAGATTGCTAAAGCCAGCTTACATGTCGCCCTTCCATGGTACACCCATTTGTACACCATTCCATTCCTCTCGCTCTATCCGCTTCTCGCGTACGCGTATTATATCAAGTACGATGACTGGTTGCAAAGCGAGGAGTGGACTTTTTTGGCTTGTGTATCTCTGGGCGCAGGTCATGCTTTAAGTTTCCTGGTCACTCGATGGAGTGCCGGCGCGAAAGCATGGATAACAACACGAAAGGTGTGCATTTATGTTTAAAAATGTAGATACCATCCTCATATACCCTAAAGGCGCGGTCTATCGAGGATGCAGACTGTATACGCTTGGTTCCTCACGTCCATCGTGGTCAAGGCGAGATTGTTCCATTGCTCAAGAGTGTTCCATCGGAGCCAATGTCCTACACGTTCAACTACCAGCGAGATACTTACGTTGTAGCCGGCAAGAATCCCATCGTGTTCACCCGCCTCCCGTACCCATCTACCCAGCGTCCATCATTGTCTTCCTTTTTACAACCCACCGGCCTCAATCTGGATGCAATTCCACCTCTGAAGTCACTATATGGCAAAAATGAATTCAACATTCCGATCCCCTCTTTCTCGGAGCTTTTCGCTGAACATGCGACGGCTCCCTTCTTCGTTTTCCAAATATTTTGTGTTGCGCTCTGGTGCCTGGATGAGTATTGGTACTACAGCTTGTTCACGCTATTCATGCTTGTCATGTTTGAGTGCACCGTTGTCTGGCAGGCGCGTTTTTTCTTTCTTCCCGTTAGCAACTCCCAAGTTAACTTCCCTTGTAGCGCGTGAAAACTCTGACGGAATTCCGTACGATGGCTGTCGCTCCGTATCCCATTCAATGCTACCGGCATTCACAATGGATCACCGTCCAGTCTGACGAGCTTCTCCCCGGAGACCTTGTTTCTGTTGGTTAGTGTCGTCTGTCCATTGTCGATATTAATTCACTAACGTATCATCACAGCACGACAGCAGTCTGAAACGGTAGTTCCTGCTGATATCCTTCTCATTCAAGGCACATGCATCGTCAACGAAGCCATGTTGTCGGGAGAATCTACACCGCTACTCAAGGAATCTATCCAGCTTCTCGATAGCGGAGACAAACTTGACGTCGACGGTGCGCACAAGAACACGGTCCTGTTCAGTGGAACAAAGGTGCTCCAAGCAAGCTCAACGGGTACGTCGAATACTTGCAGTTTCTTTCTTTGTTAATGTTGTTATTCGGCTCTCAGGTCAAGGACAAGTCACCGCAGCGACTCCGGATGGTGGATGTCTAGGACTTGTTTTGAGAACTGGTTTTGGCACAGCCCAGGGGCAACTTGTGAGGACGATGATATTCTCAACTGAACGCGTATCTGCAAATAATTTCGAATCATTCCTCTTTATCGGATTCTTGCTCATTTTCGCGATTGCCGCTAGCTGGTATGTTTGGGTGAAGGGTACGTGTTATCTCTTGTGTATTGGGCACTAATCACGAGTATACATAGGCATCGAGCGTGATCTCAAAAAGTCCAAGCTCTTGCTTGATTGCGTGCTTATCATTACGAGTGTCGTCCCCCCAGAATTGCCTATGGAGCTTTCTTTGGCCGTGAATGCGTCCTTGGTTGCTCTGTCAAAATTTGGTATATCAAGTTTCGTTTTCTAATGATTTATCTCACTATGTTTACCAGCCATATTCTGCACCGAGCCATTCCGTATCCCGTATGCTGGTCGCGTCGATATTTGTTGCTTCGACAAAACGGGAACCATCACCGCAGAGAACTTGGTCTTAGAGGGTGTTGCTGGTATAGAGTTGGTATCCCATATTTAATCAACATCTCCCCGCTAATATTCACACAATTCTAGCGGATCAGACAAACTCAAGCTTGTGGACGTGAAGGACACTGCCAAGTATACCACCCTCTGTTTGGCTGCGGCACATGCACTCGTTCGCCTCGATGATGGCACAGTTGTTGGAGACCCAATGGAGAAAACGACCTTAGAAGCTCTTGATTGGCACCTTACGAACGGTGACCAAGTAGCGCCATCTTCCGCCAAGTCGCCCAATGCGTCGAGGATTTTCATTCGGCGCCGGTTTCAGTTTTCGTCGGCTCTTAAGCGCATGTCCACGGTGTCGAGCTTGCCCAGCGGCAAGGTTCTTGTCGCTGTTAAAGGTGCACCGGAAACGATCAAAGGCATGCTCGCGGAAGTCCCCGAATGGTATGATGTGACATACAAGTGGTATACTAGGCGTGGCAGTCGTGTTTTGGCTTTAGGAACGAAGGAGATGGATGTCATGTCGACCGACAAGGTTAGTCATAGTCTGATAACTGCATCTGCGTTGTTCACAGTTACTTAGATCAATAAACTATCTCGCGAGAATGCTGAGAGCAGCCTTATGTTTGCAGGATTTTTAGTCTTTCATTGTCCTCTCAAGCCAGATGCTGTTGAAACACTCAAGATGCTTGCCGACTCATCACACAGGGTAAGTCATTCGTTCGATATGGGACTTTACTCATTGCAGAGTAGTGCATTATGATCACTGGCGACAACCCATTAACGGCGGTCCATGTCGCACGTGACGTCGAAATCGTCGATCGCGATGCGCTGATTCTGGATTTGCGAGAGAACCCCGCACATGAAGCAGGTGGGTTCGTTATCATTGCAGCCCCTACACCCAGTAACGTTTGTCACAGATTTGGTCTGGCGCACTGTGGATGAAACTAAGATTATTTCGGTGGATCCGTCTCAACCTTTGGACCAACGCCTTTTCGACGAGTACGATATCTGCATTACCGGTGCCGCCATGAAGCAATTCGAATCTCGTCCTTCATGGAATGACTTGGTACAGAATACCTGGGTTTATGCTCGTGTCTCGCCCACGCAGAAGGAATTCATCCTTACCAGTCTTAAGACGCTTGGTTACACCACGCTCATGGCTGGAGACGGCACCAATGACGTCGGTGCACTCAAACAGGCTCATATCGGTGTAGCTCTTCTTGATGGCACACCCGAAGATCTCCAGAAAATAGCGGAACACCAGAAGGTTGAGCGGGTCAAGAAGGTCTACGAGAGTCAGCTGAAGATGTCGGCAAGGTTTGGACAGGTGCCACCACCTGTGCCTCCTGCTATTGCGCATCTCTTCCCAGATGTTGTTGAGGCACAGAAAAAAGCCGCAGAGAATTTACAAGTCGCACGTAAGAAGAATCCGATGGAGAAGGTGGCGTTATCATCCCTGTGAGGCTTCGCTTGGCTCACCGTATTCTAGTTCGACCTTGCCTCAATCACTGATGCTATGGCCAACATGGAAGGCGATGAGGATGTTCCTCAGATCAAACTTGGAGACGCTTCATGTGCCGCCCCATTCACGTCGAAGTTGTCCCATGTCGCTGCCAGTGAGTTTGTGTACATTTACCGTGCAAGGTTCCTGCTGAACTTTGAACAGTTACCCACATTATCAGGC